TGGGTGGATTAGTGGTGGATGGAACACTTATGTGTAGGTGAGAGGGTGGTGAGATAGATAGGTTGATATGGATATTTATTGGTGGATTAGTGGTGGGTGGTGCATTTACGTGTAGATGGGTGGGTGGGTGGATTTGGGTTGGTGTGGGGATGTGTGTGTGTGGATGAGTGGGTGGGTGGATGGGTGATTGGGTCACGGGTGAATTTACAGATGGATGGTGCATGACGGGTGGTAGTTGGATAAAGGGTCACATTTAAGGAGGAATGGGTTTTGGATGGTAGATGGATCAACAAGGTGGGTGGATGGGTGCTTGGTAGGTGTTTGGTGAGTGAATCTACATCTATGTGAGTGGATTAACAGCTGGGTGGGAGGGTGAACCTTTGGGTGAACGGGTGGATGTGTGGATCAGTCGGTGGGTAAGCGGGTGAATCTCTTTGTCCTAAACTGGTTTTTTTGAAAGACTTGAATGAAGCAAAAATAACGGCTCTGAGATCTCGTAAATCTCACTACTACCACTACTTTTTTTCAAGGATTTTTTTTTTCGGGGAAAGGAATCCCTCGTTGATACAATGGGGGTCTGACAGAAAATGGCAGACCCCCAACAGTGCTTTATTTTTAGGTGATAGGGCAAGGTTTAATGTAAGGGATAGGGTGTCACTGCTTTCAGAGCAAAGACAAAAGAAACAAAAACGTGTTTTAAAACCATGCTACATAAACTTGTTCATGACAAACTCTTGTTCTTTGTTTTGCTCCACCACAGGCGATAAAATGACAGACGATGAAGTGATGGAGATGATGAAAGAAGCAGATCAGAACGGTGATGGAAAAATCGATTACCAAGGTATCGTGTTTTGCTTTTCTAGTGATCTTCAAAGGGTTGTTTGCTGCTATTGCTGAGATTGGGATTGTTTCGTTGCTTTATCTTACGTCTAGTTGCACGCTTGTGTGTTTGTTTATTTAAGGTAGTTGCTGTTGCTGCTATCCTTTCAGTTTATGTTGATGCTGCCGCTGTTGTTGCTGTTGTTGCTGCTGATGTTGTTGTTGTTATTTTTGTTGCTGTTGTTGTTGTTTTTGTTGCCGTTACTGTTGATGCTGCTGCTGTTGTTGTTGTTGTTGTTGTTGTTGTTGTTTTTGCTATTG